TCAGGCAGACAGGCAGGCAAGTGGTTAGGGGCAATGAGGCAGGCAGGGAGAGTGGTTAGGGGTGATCAGGTAGGCAAGCAGGCCAGCGTTAGAAGCCAGTGGTCCTGGATTGTGAGAGGGATGTCCGACTGCCGGTTTAGGATCCATCCTGCTATGGGATGGGGCCTAAACTGGCAGTCAAATGTCCTCCAAGGGGTTCCAGATTGCGAGAGGGTGCAGGCCGGTCTGAGGAACCCCCATGCACTAATTTTGTGGACCAGGCCTCTAGTATAATTATAATACTTCACATGGTGGTCAGTATTTAGAATAGTACCATCACTAAAAATCCCAGATGTGGCTGCTGTGCGATCATAAATAGTCATTGCTCTTGTTAGATACATCACCTATGGACTGTCTTTGTGGGAAATGGGCATTGTGGCAGATAAAGACACATCAGAGATATTGTAAGAACAACGACAAATAGATAATACATCTACAGAAGTTTTGAAGTAGTGCAAATTAATCTTATCAATCAGATTACAATGCATATGTTTTGTTGGAGTTGAACTTTTAAGTGTATATATTTTTTCCTTATAATAATTAGGAATGGGATAGAGAAGCAACAGCAAATGCCCAGAAGTGGGCAAACAAGTGCACTTTACAACACAGTGATCCAGAGGACCGAAAAACCAGTATGTGAATTAGTAAATATTTGTTGAATAAATGAAAAAATAAAATAATAGTGGACAAATAAAATAGAATGGATTCTTCTAGTGTATTACATTAAGACTATGAATAAATGTTACTTGTATTTGGCTTTTTAAAATCACAGTATCTGATGGAGAAATAGTTATGATAAATGCCATTTTGTGCTTATTGATTATTATGCAAATAATATCTCAAGCAGTATCTAATTTGGTCCTCCCAACTTGCTCACGAATAAACTAGGATGTGGAAGGAATGACTTACCCAAGAACACAACCTGATGTAGTGAGATATATTGGAAAGCTAACCAGGCTTTCTGATTTCTAATCCACTGTCCTTTTGTGATATTGTATAGCCATTTGGTGTTCTGAAATTATTTATTTTGTATTCACAAAATATGTTGAATTATGTGGAATTGTACCTGATTTTTTTTCTTTACAAATATGAAACTTTTTAAAATCAGGATGATATTTTGATTATGTTGATTCATTAAAAAAATTTTGGTAACAGTCAAGTATTTTTGTATGGACTGTGTAACTATAACGCATGGAATCATATAGCCTATTCCAAAAACACAGAAGACATATCAAGGATCCTGGTGTTCAAATAGTTGATTTCTTTTACCATTGCAGCTTTATTGCTTTCCTCACGATCTGTTCCTTCATAGATACGAAATGCGGTGAGAATCTCTATATGTCAAGTGACCCTAATGAGTGGTCAAGTGCAGTCCAAAGTTGGTATGAAGAGAGACACGATTTTGTTTATGGTGCAGGACCAAAGTCTCCCGGTGCAGTGGTTGGACATTATACCCAGGTAAAGGGAACAGTGAAAATACTTCTACCATGAATGCTCTAATATAGAAAGCTTCTTCAAATTATGACCCATCCCAGGGTTCAATTTGGGGAAAAGAGCCCAAATCGGTACAATACAGTAACATTGGACTGGTACTTCACCCGCAGCTATTATTTTGTTTTGATGGCTTGCATAACTCTTGGTTGGAAAGTGCACTCTGTATTTTTCCAACATTACAAATGAACAGAGTGGTGAATGCACATAAAAATTTAATATTTTCAAAGTGTGTGACTTTGTTTCAATAACGTAAATATTTCCATAAAATACATGGCTGCAAGCTATAGTAGTAACATTTTTTCAAGTTTTTCTTTGGCATTTGTCCTTTAATATTTTCCCTTTCTTACGTTATTCTTTATATATCCCCTTATGGATTTGTAGCTTGTTTGGTACTCATCTTACCGTCTTGGATGTGGAGTTGCTTATTGTCCTAATCAAGAGAATCTAAAATACTTCTACGTTTGCCACTATTGTCCTGCGTAAGTATACACTCTAGAGATCAAAGTCAATACTTCCATCTGCAATTTGATATTTTTAAATTTTCATATATTAGTCAAATCAGAATAAAAACACATGTTTCAGTAAAGGAAAGTATTTCTTTGGAAATGATTATTAGGTGAATGATCTTTAAGGTGAGATACATTCAACTTACCAGAGAAGAGACCAAGTTCTAAGACCAAGTATAAATTTGAAGCTTTGTTTTCTCAATTATAAAACAATGTCTTCTCTCACAATTGCCTTTCCCAAGTGCTCAAGATTATTCCCTGAGCATGTGGAGTGTGCATGTCTCTCAGTTAGATATCATCAGTTCTCACTGCTTTCATGCCCTAATGATGCTTGATGATTAAGCAAGGGGTGGTAGTGCAGTGGCAAATTTGGGATCAAAAATTGTGATTTCTGCCTTTTCTGCAAAAATGTTTCTGCTCCTGTTTATCTACAAACCATTTACATTTTTTTACCATTAAAAATGATTCCTTCTCTTGTGTTTCAATGGTTTTTCAAGAGATCTTTAATATACTTCAGAGTCCAGAAAAAGTTAACATCTTAAGTCTTTGTTTCTCAGCAGTTTTTTTTAAAATATATTTTTTATGATTTCTGAGAGGAAGGGAGAGGGAGAGAGAGAGAGAGATAGAAACATCAATGATGAGAGAGAATCATTGATTGGCTGCCTCCTGCACACCCCCTCCTGGAGCCCACAACCCGGGCATGTGCCCTGACCGGGAATTGAACTGTGACCTCCTGGTTCATAGGTTGATATTCAACCCCTGAGCCACACTGGCCGGCCTCAGCAGTTTTCACACACAAAAACAACTCCATAATGCACCACCCCATACTGTCTTGATTTGTAGCAGGAAACATGCTGTTTCAACAAGCAATATGTTTGAAGTCATCCATAATAAAGCCTATGGACATATCAAAGATCTAATCTCAACATATCTCTTAGCTTTAATTCCTTATGACTAGAGACAAGGGCACCCCCAAAACCAAATCTCCCATGGGATTTATTTTGAGATTGTAGATAACCTGGAGATCTTGATCTCCCATCTGAGAAGTGTGGCCTTCACAGTGACTTGCCACTAGAAAGAAGTGAAAAGTCCTAGCAGAATGCACTCAGACTCACTGCCTGGCTGTGAGAGGGGAGGCATCTGAAGTGAGGGGTGGAGTGAATAATGAGGGGCAGCAGAGATGAGAGAACCCACCCCCCCAGACACACCACTAGCTATTTAAATATCATTGTTCCTGCCTAGAAGTATTTACTGTCCCTAGTACATATCAGAGAAATTATGATATTTTATCATCTTCCAAATATACATGATATGGTAGCATTGAGTATTTTCTTTCACACTACAACTCTCTAGCCTCCAAGAGTTTCTCCTGTCTGTCTGGGTAGGAGATGTGTTCGAACCCAAGCCAGCACTTTGGGGTGCACTGCCTCACCAATTTAACCAAGTCTCGTGGGAGATAGAGTGTTGAAATATACTCTGGAAAGTTGAGACTGTAGTTATCCAATTTAGTTGTTCAACCTACAGAATTACAGTTAAGGAGATGGGTCAATGTTTGAGGTATTTTCTTAATTTGGAGGCCATCTGAATTACACATTGGGAATTGTACTTTTTCACTTTTGGTAACATATTTGAATATATTTAATAACTAGGTATATTTGGTGACTAATGCTACCCTCGGAGTATAAATGAAACAGCAAAGTGAAAAATATTTGACACTATGTTTTTTAAATTTCAGTGGCAATAATGTGAGTAAAAAGAATACCCCTTACCAACAAGGAGAACCCTGTGCCAGTTGCCCCAATAACTGTAACAATGGACTATGCAGTAAGTTTGAAGTGATTTTACCTGCTGTTATAATAAAGAGTTGATATTTTCTTTTCTTTTTATGGATTAGGAATTCTCCTAGGGTTACCAATTTAAATACTATCTTGATGCAAAATACAGAGAGATTCCTCAACAGAATGTGTTTAAGGGAACATTTTATACACTTTTATAACTTACACTAGAGGACTGGTGCACGAAATTCACTCACAGGTAGGGTCCCTAGGCCTGGCTGGTGATCAGGGCTGATTGGGGCCTTCCAGCTGCTGGCCAGGGCCTTCCTTCTGGCTTCTGGCTGGGCATCCCTTTCCTGGTTTCTTCCTTCATTCTGTGCAGCCCCCTGGTGGTCAGCGCATATCATAGCTAGCGATTGAACTCCCGGTCTCCCGTTCAAACTCCCGAGGGGACACTTTGCAAATTAGCCTTTTATATATATAGATATGTTTTGTAGTGAAAAGAATATTACCACTTCTAACATGATGAAACATCTACCATCAATGGCTTTGTGACTATGCAGAGCTCATTTATATTAACTATACAAGTTTCTGGTAACTAGTTCATTTCATCAAAGTATCATTAGACAAAAGGTGGTATTTTGAAAAAATGAAAATTATAAATCTACAGATGTGAGATGAATATTATGGCTCAATCTAGACAGGCAAACCAAATATTAAATTTATTTTGTGCTAATATGTTCATCATGCTGATTATCATATTTTTTTAATATATTTTATTGATTTTTCACAGAGAGGAAGGGAGAGAGATAGAGAGTTAGAAACTTCGATGAGAGAGAAACATCGATCAGCTGCCTCCTGCACATCTCCCACTGGGGAGGTGCCCGCAACCCAGGTACATGCCCTTGACCGGAATCGAACCTGGGACCTTTCAGTCCCCAGGCCAACGCTCTATCCACTGAGCCAAACCGGTTTCGGCTGATTATCATATTTTTATAGTACAATTGGAATCATAATGTTTGACTTGACAAATGATCACTTACCCTATAATTTGATAGCAATTTTGTGTACTTTTTAATAACAAAAATTCAATCTGTATACAAAATTGGTTCATACTGTTGCAAAAGGAGAAAATAAAATAAATGTCATATATATCATTTCAAAGTTCTCATAAATAGAAGTAAAAAAACCTGTTGGTCTTTCATAGTTGGGATACTTTCATTAAAATTATGAACAATAGAGTTGACCCTCACTGAGATTTTTACCTTTCAAATTCATTCACCTTTAGTTAGCCTTCTTTTTATAAAGCTATAATTCAGAATATTGATGATATCAAAGCTATAAATCAACTAAAGAAGAAAAAAGTTGAATATACCACTGCCGAATGCTATTTGCTAAAGAGCTTGGAATTATCCTATTAGCATAAGCATCCAACTGAGGAGAGAGAGAGAGAGAGAGAGAGAGAGAGAGAGAGAGAGAGAGAGAGACTTTGATTTGTTGTTCCACTTATTTATGCATCCATTGGTTGATTCTTGTATATGCCCATATGCCCTGACCAGGGATCAAACCTGCAACCGTGGTGTATTGGGATGACTCTCTAACCAACTGAACTGCCCAGCCAGGCTCCCTACACCTATGCATTTTGAAAGTATGAATTGTTTTGCTGCTACTAAGGAAAATAACATGGAACTAATCTGTTTTTGTTACAGCCAATAGTTGTGAGTACGAAGATCTCCTTAGTAACTGTGGTTCCTTGAAGACAACAGCGGGCTGTGGGCATGAATTGCTCAAGGAAAAGTGCAAGGCTACTTGTTTATGTGAAAACAAAATTTACTGACATGTTCAACGTGCAATGCTCAAGATTAAGTGGAAAAGGGCTGCATTACTTAGACCTAGTGGAGAAGGGTGCATCATTCAATTGACACTTCCCAGAGGGGAAATGGTAAGCAGGTTAGTTACAAATTTGATTCCAAACAGTAATGCATCTTTTTCTCTAGGCTCTTCACAGAAATCTCTCTCATACATCGATTTACAAAAGCAACATGATGCCAACTTTGGACTTTGAGATACATTTGGTACTTTAAAGTTAACAAATTAAATCAAATTGAGGATGTTTAAAGTGGTAACCACAGGATTTAGGTCCCAAAATATTGCCTATAAAAAGAATCACATGTTCCATGAAAATAGGTGTTCTTTCTTTTATTTATTTTTTTATTTTTTTAAATATATTTTATTGATTTTTTACAGAGAGGAAGGGAGAGAGATAGAGGGTTAGAAACATCGATGAGAGAGAGACATCGATCAGCTGCCTCCTGCACATCTCCTACTGGGGATGTGCCCGCAACCCAGGTACATGCCCTTGACCAGAATCGAACCTGGGACCTTTCAGTCCGCAGGCCGACGCTCTATCCACTGAGCCAAAACCGGTTTTGGCTCTTTTTATTTTTATTTATTTTATTTTTTTTAATATATTTCTTTATTGACTTCAGAGAGGAAGGGAGAAGGAGAGAGAGACAGAAACATCAATGATGAGAGAATCATTGATTGGCTGCCTCCTGCACACCCCCCACTGGGGAACGAGCCCGCAACCCAGGCATGTGCCCTCAGCCAGAATCGAACCTGGGACCCTTCAGTCCCCAGGCTGACGCTCTATCCACTGAGCCAAGCCGGCCAGGGCTCTTTTTACTTTTTGACATTTTGATAATCCTATTTATTTAGTTGATACATTTTTCAAAAGAGGGTACCATCTGACAATATATACAAATATATCCTCCTCAGAGGAAGAAAAACAATAGTAATAAGTATTTTAGAGAGATTTATCATTGATGAGTCTTTGCCTACATTGTAATTTAAGATTGATAAAACAACAGTCAAGTCACTCTATCTTTTACAAGTAGTGATAAAAAGAAAAATGATTGCCTCAAACATTTTTACTAAAAAAATTAAAATAAGAAAAAGAATAGTAGAGTAAATCTAAAGTGAAGAAGAAAACGATAGTCAAAAACAGAAACTAATGAAATAGATAATAGAAAATCAAAGTATATAATTAATAAATCAAAATTCTGTGTTTTAGAATTAGTAAAATAGACAAATGACTAGGTGGCTTAATACAGAAAGAAAGATAAAACAAAAAGAATTTAACAAGATGGCAAGAGAGAAACAGCTATTAAAATGTAAGAAATAAAGAGAAAGAGATGTGGCAGGGAGGTAACTATTAAAACCTCTATACAAATATATTTGGAAACCTAGATAAATAATTTGCTAGGAAAATAAAAATACAAAAATTGACTCTATTAGAGATACAAAGTTTAAACTGCCCATTGTCTATATAGAAAAAGCTATTAAGAAGCTATCACCTCTCAAAAAAAAGTGTGTGTGTGTGTGTGTGTGAAAAATATGATAAATGGGCAAAGAACATGAACAAATAATTATCAAAATAGATTAAAATGGTCACTAAACAAAAAATATTTTTTTACTTCACTCATAAAAATAAATGGAAATTTAAACCTCACTGACATAGCACTTCACCACTCAAATTGTAAAAATAAAAAACCCCCACATTCTGCTACAGTTTTTATGGAGGGGTATTTGGCAATGTCTACCAAAACTACATGTGCATTTACTCTTTAAACTACATGTGCATTTACTCTTTAACCCAGACATCTTTCTAGGATTCATCTTCAAATCCCTTCTAGAAATTTTATACTATTTATTGAAATAGTCTTTGTAATTGCAAAATATTGAAAAAGTCTATAGCCCACACACAAAAAGTTGGTTGAATAAACTATGGTTTATTCAACATATTGTAGTGCCACATATCTTTTATGAAGAACAAGAATCTTTATGAACTTATCTGGAGTGATTTCCAAGATATTTCCTATATAATAAAAGCCTAATATGCAAATTGACCAAACAGTGGAACAAACAGTGGAACCGGTTGCTATGACGTGCAATGACCACCAGGGGGCAGACACTCAATACAGGAGATGCCTCCAGGCCACAGGCCCTAGGCCAACCAACGTGGGTGCCAGCACGGGACTCCCAATTGCTCTGCTGGTCTCCCCACAGAGGGAGGCAACCAGCAGCGGTGGCAAGGGGCCAGGCAGGCAAGTGGGCAGCACCAGGCCAACCAAGGTGGATGCCAGTAGGGGCTCCTGATTGCCCTGCTGGTCGCCCCACAGATTGCCCCTGATTGCCAGCCAAGCCTAGGAACCCTACCAGTGCACTGGGCCTCTAGTTGATAAATAAAAAATAGCATAGTGCAAAAATGTTTTTGATAGTCTTCTACCTTTTGTGTTAAAAAGGGTAAATGCAAAAATACACCTGTACATTCACATTTGTGTTAAAAAGGGTAAATGCAAAAATACACCTGTACATTCACATTTTTGCAACATAGGAAAAGTGCAGCAGAAACTAAGGAAATTGGTTGTATCCAGTTGGTTGGTGAGAATGGGGTGGGCAGAGTAGAGGGTGTCAAAGGGGTAGGAAAAATTGATTGGAGGGAGTGACTCTTCTCTGACTTCCTTTTTGTATAGTTTTAACTTATAAATTATGTGAATGCTCACATACTCCTTCAAATAAAATATAACCAACAAAGGGGGGAAGAAAAATCCAAAAATGGAATAAACACAAAAACAAATTAAACTATACTTTAAATAGTTTAAAAGTATTAAAAGTTTAAAAGAAATTTTATAATCACCATAAAGGGTGAAAAAACACACACCACAGAACTAATTCAAATAATGTTCGAATGCCATTTTGGACAATATGTCTTCTATATGTATGTAAACAAATGTTCAACTCTAATAAGACTTTCTTGTTTGTTTTTAACCTTAGACACATGAGTTAGTAGTTCTGAAACTACTACTTATGCTACAATTGAACAAATACATATAAACAATGGGAACCAGGGTTTTCACTCTTGGGAAAGGATTTACGCATATGGAAGAGAGGAAGGTGGAAATAAACCCTGTGTTGTTGTATTAGAATTGGATATACTGCTATGAATTGATGGTTTTCAATGTATAGAAATAGATGCAGCTGTTAGGGAACTAAGCAGAAGGAATCCCTGCCCTCAAGAATGCACACTTTTTTAACAAAGGAGATAAGAACATAAGGTTTCCCAGCCACGAGGGACACACACCATTCTTCAGGATGGTAAAAATTATTCCTAAATTGATATAAAATGTAACACCAAAGAGACAAATGCTGGCTCACCACTTTTAAATGGAACACATCATGGCTTTAAATTAAAGAAAGTTCCAGAAAGGACAAGTTCATGCTGGCTTAATGAAGCCTTCATCCTTATCCCTCTGGCACTGGCAGCCGGCAGCAAAGACGGTGATAACTGATGAGTGGCCACTGGAGGCTTCCATGGAATCCAGCAAACAAACTCAGCTTTGAGGTCTGGAGTTACTGGCAACACGCTCACTGAATATTGCCAGGTATGGGTCCTTAGCAGCCCAGATCTGTCAAAGAGGCTGAGTAGAAGGGTAGGAAAAGAGCGGATGTTATGGGGGAGGTGACAATATTTGTTAGTACACACGAGAAAATTCCTAGGGCCCTATGAGCAACCAGCAATGATTGGGTGAAAACTTTACAGTTTATGGCTCTTTCAAGAGCAAATAGCGGGGAGCACTACCTTTACCTGTCATACACATGCATGAGCGCGCACACACACACACACACACACACACACGAAAACATTTTTAAAAATATTTTTATTGATTTCAGAGACGAAGGGAGAGGGAGAGAGAGAGAGAAACATCAATGATGAGAGAGAATCATCGATCGGCTGCCTCCTGCATGCCCCACACTGGGGAGTGAGCCTGCAACCCAGGCACATGCCCTGACCGGGAATGGAACCCTGACCTCCTGGTTCATAGGTCGATGCTCTACCACTGAGCCATGACAACTGGGCACAAATACATTTTATGGGAACTATTATAAAACCAAAACTCCTAATGTTGGGAAATCTACACTAATAAAAGAGAAACATGGTAATTAGCGTACGACCGCTACCCTTTTCATTGGCTAATCAGTGAGTATATGCAAATTAACTGTCAGCCAGATGGCGGCCGGCAACCATGCACTGAAGCGAACAGGGAGTCTTGCTTGCTCCAGTGACTGGCGGACCCCAACGTTCCCCACCTGCCGCTGCCGGCCTCTGACCTGGCAGTTTGAAACATTGTAACAAATATAGAAGCTAAACAAAACCCCAGAAACCAGCTTTCAGCCGGCCGGGATCTCAGAGCTGGAGTTATACATTGTTTAGATTATAGAACGCAAACAAACCAGATACCTGCTTTCAGCAGCGGAAGCCTCAGAGCTAGAGCCAGAGCTAAAGCTGGCCCAGAATTAAAATAAAGAAAAAAGAAAAAAAGGAGCGGTTGGGAGCTTCAGTCAATCACCAGCCTGAAAGCAGCCCTCAGCCCCTCACCCAGACAGGCCAGGCACACCAGTGGGGACCCCCACCCTGATCCAGGACACCCTTCAAGGCAAACCAGCCGGCCCCCAGGCCTCTATCCTATATAGTAAAAGGGTAATATGCCTCCAAGCACCGGGATCAGCGGAGCCTTGAGGCCTCCTGGCACTGGATCAGCGTGACAGGGGGCAGCGCCCAAACCCCCTGATCGCCCTGCAGCTCTGTGTGTGACAGGGTGCGGCGTCCCAACCCCCCCCCCCCCCCCCCCAAAAAGCCCTGTTTTGGGTGTGACAAGGTAAAGTCTATATCTCTCCTTCTCCCTGTCTT